GAACGAGATGCCATTGACAGCAAGAAACGTATCCGTCGCTTCTTGCGAGAACAGGTGGCGTTGCTTGGAAAACAACGATTGGAGTATTCCTCCGAAAGTATGGTGGTTGCTTGCATATTGCATACCATATCTCCACACGCCTACAAATTTCTCAGGGGTTCAGGTTTTTTTGCCATGCCACATCCCAGTACTTGTCGAAATGTCTGCTCCTCGTTTCACTTGTCACCTGACACTGAGTCAGCCAGTGAAAATTTTCTCAGGTACATAAAACACAGATTTAAACAATTGCAGCCGCATGAAAGTGCCGTGGTTCTCATGGTTGACGAAATTCACATCCAGCCTTTCTTCGATTTTAAAGGTGGAAAAATTTCAGGGGCAGCAGGAAACAGTGAAGAGGCCGCTACTTCTGCTCATGTGTTTATGGTGCAAAGCATGCTGAGTTCTTTTCGCGAGGTGGTGCACATTCTGCCTGCACGAACAATGAATGCTCACTCTCTTCATGCTGTCCTGAAAAATGTAATCATTGGCCTTGAGGAAATTGGTTTTAAAGTTCTTGCAGTAGTTTCAGACAACAACGCAATCAATCGCAAAGCACTTAGTATGTTTTCAGATCCGCCAAAGCCGAGCATCGTTTACCCAAATCCAAAAGACGCAACAAGACCTATGTTTTATGTTGTGGATTCTGTGCACTTGTTGAAATGCATTCGAAACAACTGGATAAATCAAAAGAATCTTGGGACAAACCTATATTTTCCTATGTTTGATCTCTCAAACAACAGTGACAATCCCGACTGCATACAGCGGGCATCATTCAAAGATCTTCGGGAGCTGCACAAGCTAGAGGCTTCTCAGCTTTTGAAGTACAGCTATCGCCTTTCGTCAAAGGCGCTAAATCCTAGCAACTTCGAAAGGCAAAATGTTAAGCTAGTACTACAAATATTCAATGCTTTTGTAGCTGAGGCACTGGATCACCACTGGAACTTTCATGCGTTATGGCATGCCAAAGAAACTGCCAATTTCATCAGGATAGTTCTCCGCTGGTGGAAGATTGTAAACGTTAAAACACCTCACAAAGGCCATCACCACAGAGATGTTTATGAAGAGCCAGTTTCGTGCCTGAATGGTGATCCTAAGCTGGAATTTCTCGATGCGTTTGTCACTTGGTTGGATGTGTGGGAATCCTACAAACACGACAACGGCGTTCTCACGCGAGAAACTCAATCTGCTCTAAGGCATTCCGCCTATGCAATACTTGAATTCACCAAGTACTGCCTTGTCGAGCTTCGTTATAAATATGTCCTGCTCGGCAACCTGCAGACAGACGGCCTCGAAAACCGATTTGGCCAGTACAGGCAAATGGCTGGTGGTCATTACCACATCAGCATTAGGCAGCTGTACGAGAGTGAAGGCAGGATTCGCCTACAAAATACTCTTCCTATAATGAGCAGTGACGATTTCATTGATGAGGCTCTTCCATCGGCAACAGCCACAAATCAACAGGACTTCAGAGTTACTGTCAAACCTGAAGATCTTGACAGCTTAAGCACACGCGTCGCTGTTTTTGCTTATGTTGGAGGCTTTTGCACTAACTCTGTGGTAAAAACGTTGAAGTGCAACTACTGTCAAGAGAAGCTTGTTGCTGACAGTTGCGATGCTGAGTGCGATGGTGATGCTAATTCTTTAATAGCAAGTCTCAATCGAGGTGGCTTGAAATTTCCGAACGCGTGTGTTGTGACAGTAGTGATGCACACTGAAGTTGTTGTTGCAAAGTTGCTGCAGAATGAAAAAAATGCCGGGTGCTTTCTGCAGGCACGAAATCACAGATGCATTGTTCAACAGCTTGTGAAGGAGAGCTTGCCAGCATTTGAGGAACTGGTGACTTGTGCGAATGGGCACGAACCAGATTTGGTGATAAATATGTTGATAAAATGTGCGACAAATGTTCTGCTAAATAATTATTGCAAAGAGAGGAATGACGCAGCCGCTGTTGCTAAAGCCGATGCCAAAGCTGTCGCAAAAGCACGGAAATTGAAAACTGTTGCTCCAAAATAAAGTGCTCATGTATCATTTGTAATTTTCATTAGTATGTTCATTTATTTGTGTTTTTGATCATTGCTTCGTGCCCTTGTTTCGTGTGTACATGTTGAATAAACTAACTCTTACTACAGGAAGTTTGCACGTTTGACAAGTTTCTTATAATTAACAATACCCTTTGAAGACATTGAGACGCTAGAGAAAACAATATTGCTGAGATACAACTCATTCACTGCGAGAGGAGTGCCAGAAGCGGCGCGCTCCCGCAGGACCGGTCGGACGGCGAGTGATGACGTAGCTGACGTCATGTCACGTGAGGCGCAGGCCTGAAGAATTTTAGGAGGTGTTGGCTCAGCGCCCTCGCGAGCTGCTGATTTCGTCCGTTCTTGTTTCATCTTGTCGGCTTGTAAAGACAAATGGTTTACAATGGTTGCCTCTTGCGTCATTTACGGATGTGCCAACAGGTTGAAACAAGGTTGTGGCCTCACATTCCACCTGTACGTACATGAAAACGTCTTCGACATAGCCATTCTGCGCTCGTTACTAAAGGGACCTATAGCTGACGCGATCTAAGCGTGCAAAACATAACAGTCCGGATTTGTTTTACAGGTTTACTAAAGATCCCGTAACGCGGAGCCTCTGGGAGTGGGCCGTTCGCCGTGAGAAGTAGAATGCGAAAGACTGAGATCACTTCGCTCTGTGCCCTTCGCGCCAGAGTGCTTTCACTTCAACGTGAAGAAGGATTGTGGCTCGGAAACAAACTTACGAAAGTCCACGTCCAATGGGAAAAGCAAGAAAATGAAGGTATGATATGCTGTACAACTGATCGAGTGCCTCAGTTGCCGATGCTTTGGACTTCTGCGAACAAAAGCTAAAGCTGCCGCAATTCAAGGGGGCCAGCACAAGATCTACGTTTATTAGAACTTTTGATGGCTTGTTTGACATCTTAAACTCCAGGAACCCGCTGGCAAGGTCGTACAAAGCGCCCCTTCGGCAGGGGAACGAAGCATTCTAGAAGTCGTTTTTTTTTTTTTTTTTTTTTGTGGAGACTCGAGCGTACATAAACGGGCTGAGAGATCCGGCAGTGACAGAAGGACTAAAAAAACGGATTCATTGGTTTTCGGATACGCATGGCAAGCACGGAAAGGATGTTTGACAGACTTGTCAGCCAGGGTCAGCTGAAATACTTACTGACACACAAACTCAGTCAAGACTATGCAGAAAATTTCTTTGAATCAATACGCGGATGAGGCGGCCATAACAACAACCCAACAGCTTCACAGTTTATGGCTGCATACAAGCGTCTATTGGATCAGACGGAAGTCACGTCTTCAAGTTCTGGACACTGCTCCCAAGATGTTCTCTCCGTATTGAATGCAACAACTCCTGCAGCCATGGTACATCCAAGGAGCAATCTCACTGACATGCGCTAGGCCCCAGTCCTGCAGTTTGATGACCACGACAATACGCATCGTATTGACTACTAGTGCCCGAAAGCTTTTCTGCTTTTGTCGGTTCCGTGGTGCCATACATAGCACGCTTCATTGTTCGAAAGGTCGAACTGCAACTACTTGTGAAGAGTGCATAGCAGCCGTGCACTCAGATGAGCTTGCACCTTTAATTAAATGTAAGAGGCGAGGTGGTCTTGTTTTACCGTCGCGAGATGTCATTAACCCCAGTAAAGAAGTCGAGGACTGAGGCGGCTACAGGCTGAATGTGATTCCATCACAACGGTGAAGTCAAGAGCAAGACACCTCATCCTGAAAGTTCTATGAGCTTCCTCCGAGAAAAACTGCTTCCATAAACTAGAGCAGCACGTCCTAGACTTTGATACGCTTGATAATCAGGTTTACAGTTTGTGCAGGCAAATCGCCGAACAATACGTAAAAGTGGGGATACAACACAAAACGAAGGGAAAAAAAGGAGAATTGGTCAAAAGTAAGGTGGGACTACTTTTGACAAGGGCAATAATTTTCAACCACCAGTAGGGCACCTATGTTTTCGATTATGTGTCAGAAATTTGACAATATGGTGGAACTAGACAGTGTCCAGAATAGCACCCCGGTCTGTGCAGATGTTCACTACTGTTAGGGAGGGCATGCCTGGAAGTCGCCTCATGAACTTGATTGATAGACACAGTCAACACTAAAGTCAATCATGGTTTACGTTTTTATCTTGCGTACTGATGGCGTATCTAGTACACGTGTCTGGTAATGTGCTTTTGTCATAGTCGAGACTGTAATATTTGTGTACACATGCACTTTCCATTTCAGTTTCGGTGGTTTGAAAACCAAGCTCTCCACACTGTGGCATGCACATACGTTCAACACAAATGAGATTTCACGCATATATGTCACAAAACGCCCTCGTCCTTTGTGAAGGCTCAATATGAGGACTCGTGGGTAGACAAAACAATATATTTTGTTTTATAGCTGAATACATTGGTATGTATTAGAACGTGAAGTGCCACTGCAGTATAAACGAAAGAAAATGATGGTGTACAATGCGGAAACAGCCTACACAGTGATTAGAATGCGTGAATTAAGTGGGAAGGCACGCCTCAGCTGCCTCAACCGCCTTCTCATACGTGGAATACCATACGTCCCAAAGCCACCGTATGACTATGAGAGACGCCGTAGTGGAGGGCTACGGAAACTTCGAAGGGGTGTGTGAATAGTCAGTTGGAGAAAACCGATTCGAATGCGAATCAAATATTCATGACACCACATCTATTTCCAACGCCGGCCTAGAATGTGACAATTCTCATTCCACGTTTTATTTGAAACAAATATTCTAAAGCTTTAAAAGGAACAATATGACAGCTTTTAACCAACAAAAAATACTAAACTATTTAAAATGAGCAACAACCTAAACATTCGAAACATTTAGGCAAATATTAGGCAATTTTCAATTGTTGACATGGATTTTATAGTAAAGATAGTTGATTATTTTGGCGACACTGGAGTTTTACACATAACGCCTTTGTCCTCTGATAAAACATTGCTTGCATGTTTCTGGATATAAAATTTTATTGTTATTCACGGAAAATTTATTTGAGACGACGCGAGCGCAATACAAGAACTAGACGGAGCAGGTCATGCCAGCAGCGCTATCGCTATAGTGATCAAGCCGACAGTGCGGAGTGTGAACGTCGTTAATAAACACGTGCAGGACGTGCATTTTGCTGCAAAATTTTGTCTTCTGTTGGCATGGGTGACCACGTACTTGTTAAATGGGCGTCGGAGGATAAATGGGACGTGTATCCCGTACGCAACATCAAGTCCCAAACTGTCGTCTGCCAGCTCATCGATGATCCGAAATGTGTGTCAACGCTGACCAACCAAGCTGTACAATTCCTCTGGAAGGACGACGAGTACGCCCCAGCATACATTTTGGGAATAGGTAAGCAGATATTTTTGGTTGCTTGCCCCGGCAATAGGCCTTATGGTTCATACTCATTTCAGTTTTTTGTCCGCGCTTAAAAAGTTCTCACCACACTGTTCTCACCGCAGCCAGTCGCGCTGTTATGTCACCAGGTTTCTAAAATACTGTGAATAGAATTCAATGCTCGGGAACCGCGCTGTATTTGTTGATATTTTTGTAGCGAACAGTTCAATCTTGGGGTACTCGCACGTTAATGCATACTTTGGTACCATGTCTATCGACACAACGGGAGGTTTTTGAATCTTTTGGTTGCTGTGAATGTTCAATGCACCTGCTGTAAAATATATTCAAAAGCACACGCGAAAACGTCGAAGGGTGGATTTTATTATTCCGGAAGGTTTGCTCATTGTGGTATGCAGGTGTCCAATTTAAAGCTCGTGGCTCACGCGCTGGTCATGCGGCTGCACGAACGTTGCATGAGTGCATGACCAGCGTACATGCAACTTGCTTTGTTTGACATCTGCTCGCTTTACAGAGATATATGTTGATTCTTCTGCCAGTCGCGTTATTATTATTTGGCGGTTCGAAGTAATCTTGTGTCTGCTTGCTTGCTACACTTCGTGCGGCGTTTGGTGATAGTTTTCGTTTTATTAGTTGGTGATTTATAGTCCTCATCAGCAGACCAGGTAGTTTTGTGGTTTTTATACAAATTTGCTGTGTTAACGGGGCTTTCCGAGTCGCCCCTCAGTATCATAATGAAGTTCATTGTTTGTCCGTAGTTCATCTGATTAGGTGAAAACAACTATAAAGGCATTAGTTTGAAATTCAGGGGTTTTTGCTGTGCTTAGTTCTAATGATGTGCTTCCTCCTATTTTCTCTTTCATTGTCATGCCGTTTAAATGTTGTAGCAGGGTAAGCAATTAACAGCCACGCATGATACTGTCCAACCTTTTTTACCCTTGGCATTTATGAATACACTGAATTTATACTTGCCAAGCCAATTATCAGGTCTGATTGCACTGCATTGAACTAAACTGGATATCACTTGTCTTTCAATAGAGGACAAAGTGAGGTGGTGTTATTTCACCTCTTTGCTGGTTCAAAAGTAAAATGCAGTAGGGCGAATGATTGGGGGGAAATGCGTAACAGTCTTGCTTAATTTTCATGACACCTGTCTGTTGAATGCTTGTTGCACGAAACGTAAATCTGTTTTGGTGCATTTTTGGTTGTGCTGTTTCTTCAAGCCCTGCTATTTTTAATTATTCGCTCTGTAATCAATCTGCAGTTAGTCATAGTTGTAAATGAGGGGGATACCCCATCAGTGCATTTGTGATCCTTAACATATTTATCTGTTATTTCTCAACCAAAAATGCATGATGCTTCTCTAAAAACTTCAATGACATTGATATCATTGATGATCAACATTGTTTTAGGATCACAGATGGCTATGGAGCACAAAAGAACCAGGCTTGTGATGGACCAAGCGGCTCCAAGCTCTTCTGCAAGACTGAAGGTGAGGCTGGTACTGTAAAGAGGCTGCATATAGAATTTGGTGACAGCCACTTCTACAGAGGGTGCAGTATTTTTCCCGGCCATGCGAATTGCTGGTTGAGGCCTACCTTATATATATTTTTTTTCTTCTTCTGTACTGCCCGTGAATATAGCGAGGCCATGTTGTATGGCATTTTGTCTTTGTGAAGGACATAGTGTCATTGCTGCTTGGGTGAGTATGCAAGTTCCAGCAAGATGTCAATCTCTAGTTTTCCTGAGAGGAAAGCAGTGCAAGACCATGGCAGACACACATGCATCTGCTCGTGGAGTGCTCTGTATATCCTGTCACTTATTCCCTTATTTTCTGTGATTAAATTAGAGAGGGCCTGCCAGCAACTGTTCCATCAATGGTGAAACTTTCTACATAGCTTTTTTTTTTCTGTTTCATTCTATAGGGAGCTTGCATGAATGGCCAGATTTGGGTGCACGTTAAAGAACCCCAGGTGGTCGAAATTTCCGGAGCCCTCCACTACGGCGTCTCTCATAATCATATGGTGGTTTTGGGACGGTAAACCCCACAAATCAATCATTGCATGAATGGCGGCGACGCTATGCATTCTGGGTAGGCAGCCATTTTTGTGTCGGAGGTGGTTGGAAATTGCAGCAGCGCAGTCATGTTTGCGAGTGTTGGCATAGCTTGCAGGTGTGATCAAGTGCGAGCGCGACCCAAATTTAACTCCAAGAAGAGTCGTGCATGATGCCAGCCCAGCCGGAAGACTACACAGAAAAGCTGTGCCAGGAAGACCTCGAGTTGTATGAAGAAAGATGAGAATATGCTCAGAGTGGACCCATTCACGCTTCGTGCGGGCGACTGTGTAAGCGGCGTGCACTTGTGGCCGTGCGTCGAGTGGCTGGTTGTTGGAGTCGTGAATGAAGAAATTCGCCGCCGATACCATGATCGTTGTCACTTAAGTAAGAGGTGTTAAATCACTTGATTTTGCCGTAGATGCTAATGTTTTTTTCTGTTTAGGTTAAACTTCCAGTGTGTTAACAACCCCCATCGACGTCTTGTTCATAAGCAAAAGTGATGGCAAGGTTCTTGCCGCACACTGCACATGCATGGCCGGGAACAGCGAAGCCTGCTCACATCCCACTGCGCCATTATTCTAAGTGGAGTACGACAGATGCATGTGCACAAGACGTGCGCTCGTCAATTTACTTGAGGGACGACGACCGTGGTGCCGGCGACGACTTTCTTCACCCATGGCCGCCGTACCCGGCCACTCTACACACACCTGTGACCCTTGAGGGCCTTTATGGGCTTCATCTGCTACCGGGTTTCCAAACTCGTCCTTGGAACAAAAAGTTCATGAATATTGGAGCTGTCAACATGTCGCCACAAGGTCATGTTGCTTACACAGTCGCCCGCACGAAGCGTGAATGGGTCACTCGAAGCAAATTCTTGTCTCTCCTTCGTACTGCTTGAGGTCTTTCTAGCACATCATTGCGGTGTAGTCTGGCGGTGAGGCTGATATCGCGCACGACACTTCTTAGAGTTTAATTTGCATCGCGATCGCACTCGATCACACCTGCAAGCTACGCCAACGCTCGCAAACATGACAGCGCTGCTGCACCCCCCCCGCTACCTCCGACAAAAAAAATGGCTGCCTACCCAGAGTCCATGCCGCGTTACCGCCGTATATGCAAGCTCCCTGTATACTAAAAAGCAACCTCGTTTTCTTTATCATCCTGTTTGCAAGGTCTTTGCTATGTATGCTTTCTTCCTAAATGCCTCTGCATGGTGTAGTATGTGATCATGACTGTATGACTTTAAAACGTTTACTGTGAAAATACTGAAGCTATTAACACTCTTTTGTTTATTCAACAAACTCCCGAGCAGCGGAAGTGCAGCTGCGGAATGGAGCAGGAACTCCTAATTCTAAGGCAAGAACTTGAAGACTCAAGGGCAAGAATTGGCGAGCTTGCTACAGAACTCGACGAGGAGAGATCCAAAAGGAAGAAGATCAAAGATAAATATATAGAAGCCAAAGAGCTACTTGGTATGTAGGATGAAGTCTTTGTTTTTTATTATTTTCTTGGTAAATAATTTCAGGCAGCTGGTAGAAACAAGTTGTGGTAAGGCTTGGGTTGCCCCCTGCTTTAATAATCGGGCATCATATTTGTACAAAACAGCATAAAATGTGAGGCATGGTGAGGGACACTATCGCAGACTTCCAAGTAGTGTTGTAGGTGTTGCAAGGAAAACTGCCTAGATGCATTAGTTATTACACTATAAAAAAGAGGACACATTACCACCTACAATACTCTAAAAATATATGTTTTTGTTACTTAAGAGGTCACGCTGCACCCCTCGGGCTTGTTGAAAAAATGAATTCTGCGGAAAGCAGACACAGCTATCAACTGCTTAGTGAAATATTGCAACCATGCATGTCACATAAAGGCTACAAGCAAAGCGCCAAGTTGCTGTTTTTTCAGGTGCCCCTTTTCAAACAGAGGCCGGTTCTCACTCGTCAATTGCAAGTGGGTGTCTGTCATCTGACGTCTCAAAAGATTATTGGCCAATAGCTGACACGAATCGATAGCGTTGTTTAGATCAGAGGTGCTTGTTCTCATTGGCACTGTGTTTCTAAAGACATAAACTGAAATAGAGAAAATATTCGTTCAAAGTTTTCAGAAAGATGACTCGATTCCTGTAGAGGCCAACTGTTATCTGCTGAACTCTGCGCACCAGTGTATGTTCGAGCGTGCGCTCATGGAAGTTTGCTTAGAAGTTAAATGCAGCTCACATCTGTGGTTACGCTAAAATATTTTTCGACAGGGAATGCCAGGTAGACGTTCTGATCCTGGGCGACACATATAACAAGGCAATTAATTATGTTCTGTTAGGTTGTCGTGAGCACTGAGAGACAGAAACCGGTATTTTTAACGTGATAGAAAGGCAGGCCACTGGAATGAAGTACAAAGTAAAACAACATGATCTGTTTTTGAATAGTGCAATGTGAACGTGTTGGCTTCACATTGGCAAGAGCATCAATTGAGCGGATCTGGCACTTTTTTTCACTTATTTTTTTTTTCTTGCAGTGCCTGTGTTTCAGTCAGAATTGTGATCTTGCCATGATCAAAATTTTCAAAAGCAATTGAAACGCTTGATTTCGGCCCAAAACATGTGTGCCGCAACGTCGGCCTCGAGCGTGCATCGTGCAGTGTGCGAGCCTCCCAGTACCCTGCTCCACACTAGTGTCTAGTCAGCTTCGGTACTTTAGAGCACCATTGGCAGACACTGTTTCAAACTAAAAATAATAAACACTGGCTCGCCAGCAGCAAACAAGTAGTTGCGCGCTCACTTCGGGGACAAAATGGTCGCGAGCGGTGGCTTCAGCGTGCGCACGCGCATTCGTAGTTTTATTCAGTTCTCCTGAGTGATTATGCACCATGCCAGATTGCACAGCTACAGTAGCTAGAGCGTGATGAGAAGCAGCTGATTGGAACTATGAGTTGCTGGCTGCAGCCGTCAGCCCTGTCGTGTTACGTGAAAAGAAAACCACAAAACATTGAAGCGATGTGATATAATGCACTAGGCGGGGTTGCGAACGACGCAGACCTCTCACATTAAATGAAGCAAGTTGAGGGGGGATGTGTCGGGGTTAATATTGTGATCCCTGTATCACTGGTCCTACATTAGCTTTTCAAAAAATTCTTACGGCTATGCATTTCTGGGAGGCATCGAATCGTTCCAAGGTGTTTCATACCAAGTGCGAGGGGTGGTTCATGGCCCCAATAAAAGAAAGTAATGCATGTTGCTTCATGGTCACTTTACTAATCAGCGTGTCATCCCTGCAGAAGACCCCAGTAACAAACTTTTTAAGCTCATATTTATATTTAGCATGAAACCTTACCCAAAATAAATAACATTCAACAATACTGCGTACAGATTTTCCCAACTTGGCAGTACTATATTTGCCAAGTTACCTGTGGAGTTACATGCGATGGCTGCTAAGTATGAGGCACATGGTGAAGCCATTTTATTCTCAATGTGACATGAAAAAAAATGCAGTTCATGATCAATGCTCATACAAAAAAAAATCCACCTCTGAAAGTGGTTACAACCACCACAAACATTTCAAGATCGGTTTGATTACCATTTGAAATGTGTAGAACCTTTGATTGTTTATGAATGGTTTAAAATATGGTGCATAGTCACTAAAAATTACTCTTCACTCTGCATTTGTTTTCCACCCACTGTGTCCCATTCTTAGTCTAAATATAGGTGTGTGACTGGGCTAAATGGTAATTTATGGTGACATGAACAGTGCTTAAGGCACTTCAAGAACAAGGAGCCAACGAGGACTACTACTGGAAGAACACAAATAACAAAGGCCGAGGAACTAGAAATAAACTGCAGCAAGGTGTGTGACCAGGCTAGTGGTATTCCATGGCGACGCAAACAGCGCATGAGACTCGCAAGGACAACAAACCGAGGACTAGTGCTAGTAGTGCTAGTCCTTGTTAGTTCCTTGTCCTTGTTTGTCTTAGACCCTGTGCATGTTATCATGCTTAGTGTTGTTCATACAGAGGTAACTGTTGCCACCTGTACTGAAAGGATAACTTCATTCCACATAATGCTAGTTGCCTCACGGTATTTCCCAAGCACTTTGTGACGATTTAATACATTGTGCCGGTTATAGAGCTTGTACAGTCGCACCGCTTTACAAGAGAGACTGATATAACACAAAAGAGTATAAGATACACCAGTGCGCTCAAAGTAAAATACAGGTTGATAAGAAAATGCATACATAAAACTTCACTTATAAGAGACATCTCGTATAAGAGGCGAGAGTTGCTGCCCAGTGCATGCCTCTTAAAGGGGTTAAAGTGTAGATCCTGACCTCTTCTTGATTTTTTTTTTTCAGACATAAAGAAAATGGCTAGCAATCTTCGCAAAGCCACAAGCCAGCTCACAGACTCTCTCTCCTCCGCAGCTTCACCGGCACCGGCTATCGTGCCTGCTGCTCAGGTTTGTGGCTTCATTATCACTGATTTGTGGTTATTGCATGGTGTTTATAACTTCTTGAATGTGATTTTATAATAGTGCTTTTTCTTATGCTTGTGCCTTTTTGCATTTTTTGTGTTTCACCAGTAGTCAAAGCTAATGTTCATCCATAGTTTACAAAGCTTGTCTGATGTGGTTTGTGTGTACATTTTAGTTGCTCTTTGACGCAATGCATTCCTATTTGTCTAGTCTAGGCGCTTTTATGGGATGGTAATGTAAGCACTTGTTATTTTGTATATGCCTGTCAGATTGGTGGCTTTTGTATTACTTTTATCAAGTGGCATCTTGCCATAAGTTTTATTCACATGATGTCGCATGTAAAAGTTTATACTTGGAGGAATGTGTAATGTGGATTGCACATCTTCAAGAAAAAAAAGATCACTTTTCTGTGGCTCCAGAAGTTACAACCACATGCTTTATGAAAGCTTTTTTTTTCTGTCTGTTCACTAGAAAAATTTTTTTTGTGCATGTGAATTGCACCTCTTGTGTGTTAAGCACAATGCATGTAACAATTGTGTTAGTTACATTACAAAGATTGTCTAAAATGAAAAGTATTATGGCGAACTCAAGCAAAGTAAAAAATAAATATAATACGGAGGGACGCCTAAAAAGAATGTCAAGTGGTTTTAGAGTAATACTTCATGGTCAATAAGGATGAATATTTTTGCCGATGATGCCATAGTTATTCCATGGTTGTTGCAGCAGAAGTTTTAAAATACGGGAAAGAAAAGTTTGTTTTGTGTGCCATAGTTCTTGCAAGCTTTCTCTTCTAGCAGACCTTTTCTACGGAAGGCAGTGGCAGGCTTGTGGGAGTACAATGTCTGATGTCCTTGCCTGGGCAATGCATTTTTGGGGTGTCATTCATATTTACAAAAATATACGTTAAAAGGAGTTCTCAAGGCGGTGCTCATGTGCATGCCATTTTTTGTGCTCATGTAGCGAGCCACGTTTGCACTGAAACCATGCTGGGTACCGTCTCGCTTGGCGCTCTCTGAAGTGAACATTGGTACTGGGTGGCATAAAATCATCTCCAAATAATTCACCATTGCAGTCTCAAGAAAATGGGCTTTCCAGCTGTGAAAAGTGGCTCGCTGGCTACGCATTGCAACAGAAAAACTAGCATGCGAAATTTTCCTGCGCGTGCTTTTTTAACAGGGCGTAAAATACTTTACGACTTAAGCTCAATAAAAAGTGTAATTTACTCGCACAATAGGCACAACCCCAGTTTGGTAACGAGAAATCAATTTTTTTTAATATTTCCACTGCGTTGTCATCGTAGACTTCCCAACCGCGAACGTTGGCGGGCAATGAAAGTTGCAGTTTTGTGCGAAATCAACTTCACTCTTTTCAATAGCTCTCCTTGAAGAAAAGGTGGCTTGGGTGGCGCTGTAGCACTGGAATGGGGGTTTGCGACTCGATTGCAATGTCTTGAATATGGAGTGCGAGGCCACAAAATTAAACGATTAGTACCGTACAGTGCCCTAAATTTCGGTTGCGATAATGTGCCTAATGTAGGCCGCTTGAAATTTGATTGGCGAATTTCAGCTATGGCACTTTCTCTTCGTACTTTTTCATTGACAATGCAAGTATTTAGACGTTAATTTCTTTATATCTGAATGATCACTGCATCGCATGCCTCGATTGTCGGACACGCGAGACCGCATGCTCAACAAGTTTTGTGCTAGTGTAGCCTACGAAGGAGGCTGTTTTGGCTTTAGCACAAATGTTCGCGACTTGTACTGTAGTTGGGAATAAAATTTTTGGTAATTTTATCCCGCATAATAGGCGCACCTCGAATACGGAGCCGAATTGTCTGGAAAAAAACTGCGCATAATATGTGAGTAAATGCGGTACTTGATTTTTTTGTTTAATGCTGTTCTTGTGAAAGAGAAAATTGCTGATAGGGCTCAATGTCAGGCTGGTAAACAAGTACCTTTTTACTTTGACGGGCGATTGTGACTAGTGGCATAATATTGGATGTATTGCTTCATAGCAAACTTGCCTGAGGTAAAGAAGCAAATAGTTGTATGAGCAGCTCTATTTTTTGCAGGTGGACATAGGAGATGGAGTATTGATCGACGAAAAGCTCCTAGAAAGGATTACGCTGAGCACACAGACTCAGCCATCCAAGTTCGCGAGAGCGCTGCTGCGGGCTGTATTCACGGTTGAAGAACTTGAAAACAGCTCGTTGAAGGGGAAGGTGTGCCCGGCAAATAAGGATGCCCCTCCAAAAAAGGCTTTGGACAAGAGGAGGCTGGACGCAGTAGTGTGTAAGTACATTTGACTTCCACGTTTATTTATTATCTCCTCTTTTTTTTTTTTTGCTATACTACAGACCCAATAGGCCTAAGCAGGAGTGGGATGTTAGTTAGTGGTATTTTTTCGATTTGTGAACTTGAAATGTACTATATATTGCCTAGGGTTATATCGCCACAGTGGTAAAACATGACGTATAACAAAGAAGAGGAAGAGTAAATTTCAGGACCTTGTAAATATCAGCCTCTACAAAAATGAACTTACGCAGTGATAAAAGTGCTGCTTCAAACTGCTCCAGAAAGGCAATGCTGCTCTGAACAGTAATTTTTATTAGTAATTGCTGTAAACCTGCCGTGAAATGACAGAGAATGAGATGATGAATTTTTATGGCTTTACAGGCTCGTAAGTCCTAAAGAGATTAAAAAAGAATCTGTGTACTGTGTTACTATGTGCACCATTATAGGCTCTGATCTCTTTTGCACGACAAGAACTGGCATATTGAGCATATAGCTTTTTTTTTTCTCAGCTAGACATGCGTGAAGTGTGAAAACAAACAGGATTGCTTTTATCTTGTACCGATCATCTTCTGCTTATTTGGCAACAATTATATGGGACTGTGGTTACTTCTAGAATGTGGTACTTGACTATGGTTTGATTTGATTTCTGTCACAAATGCTAGTATGTTAAATTGTAGCTTGTTTCACAGCTCATTTTTGACAACCTGCCATAGTTCGCTTCATGAAATTCACATTGATTGTTCTCTGTGAAATATATTAGTACTTACAAGATACTTTGACAATGCTCTGAACTCCAATTCTTGTCAAGAAAATTCAATATCTGCCCCCAAAATACCAGTAGCTGCTGAAAATTTGCATTTTTTTTCTGCTCCAAAAACAATTATGGCTGATTCAAAGTAGTACTTTACCTGCTCCAAAGTATGCTCCAAAAAGTAAGTTATTTTCATTACTGTATAGGAAGACCGCAGTTGGAAAGGGCCTGTGAAAAAACTGTTTTAATATGTGTTATAGCAAATATATGGGTGTTGGTACTTGTTCACCAGTGCGACTGACCTTACCGGGCCCTAAGGTTGCATGTGCAGAGATTTCACTTTTGGATCAGGGCTACTGCTGCACCAAACCGTCGCAATGCGAACCCTGCTACATTTCCCCCAAAATATGGCGAATCCCTGTCCACTTAGGTTGAAAGCATATGCTGCAGCCAACTGGTTGTGGCTTTTAGAAACAAAACATTTAGCACTACTTATTTCACTGTCACAAATTACAGGGACTACTAGAATTGCAGCACATACAGAAATCCAAGTCAAGCTACATTGCCCTGCTGCTGTTATTGTTCGTTGTGGTGATAGCTGGGCTATGCTCATTCTTGCACTATGAGAAATCTGTGAAAACTCTGCTGTGCTTATCATTTGGTGTTCATCAGTGCACTGTGCTGAAGGCCTTGAGCCCCAGTTCACAGTGCAGCCCCTGTCCTAGACCCATTTTCTTAATTGAGAGTTAGATTTTACTGTTCCCTCCCATCATCTTCTTTCTGCCCCCAATAATGCTTTCCTGGGTGGCGCTGTTTTTGAAAACAAATTTCCCAAACAGCACTTCTCAGTGAAGGCTTGATTAGTTTTTAATTTAAATAGAAATGGTTTTTAAATATTTATATTTTGAATACATTTCAATATTAATGGTCATCAGGGGCCAGGAGCATAGGCAATTTTTTTTTTCTGGAATGAGGGGGAGAGGGGGGCCATGAGAGGCTAGCCTAATCGTCCAGTATCACTTTTTTTATTCATAAATTTTTTAGCTTGAAGGTATTATTTGATAGTTTTGTAATATCTTACATAAACCACTGTTAGCCAAGGCCTAAAGTTAGTTCACTGAAAAAAAGTTTTCGTGCGTCAAACCCTCACTGTTCTGCTCCAAAAAAAAAATGGTGTGAAATAACCGTGGTCATTAGTATCTATAAATTTCCGAGTCGTTGCATTATGCAGAAACAATATTCAAACATATTTTTGACAGACACACGTGAAAAAGTCTGTTTCATAAGGTCGCACCTACGCTCGCCAAGAATGCATTAATCGAATTTCCTATGTAAAATTTCTATATAGTGTATAGCCTGCTCATTTTAAACTTTTCTGAAACATGTTGTGAATAAATTAAAAAAAGAAAGCATGACTAATTGGGCTTTGCCAACCCATACATGTGTCGCTGAATTGTTATTTTGTGCTTTCTATTGCAGCCTACACTTGCTCCCTATACAAGGTGAGCATCAAGGAGATCAGGACGAGCCTTGCCTCCATGCTGGCCCGCAGACAAGTTGGCAGCTCATCTGAGATAATCGCAGTTGGCTGCACCTGATCGTTGCATTCATTCTAAGTCATTTTAAAATTAAAACTTTGAGTATTGTGATGATTTGCTATCTTATCCTTACTTTAGTACCGTATTTACTCGCTTAATGAACTCTCCTTTTTCTTTTTTAGAAGTTGACGTAAATTTCGGGGAGGGTTGATTACGTGGGACAAAAAAAAATCCATGGTAGTTCCGACAAAAATTATCCATGACAGTATAAAAAAACTTGTCGACCAACCGCTGCTGGCCTTCGCTTCACTGGCAGAACTGTGGAGTTGTTTTTACGTGAGAACTGAACTTACTTCACAAAAGGAACTGTCTGTGTTTTGGTTCGCGAATTGCAAGACGAACCTTTTTTGCAGCCCGCAGCTCTTGTTATCTCCCGTAACGAACACGAACGGCTAGACGCCAAAGTTTTGCCAGCCGCTCTGCACCCATGCTCCAGCGCATGCTCGACCAAAAGCGGCCGTGTAGCTATAGCCTACTGGCTGATCATGCACTGCGCAGCAGGTGTCCAACAAATTTCATTATTCATTATGACAAACCCAACATCAATAAAACAGCCAGGCCTCCACACATTGAGCAGCACAGTTGCAGCTAAAGCTGGAAAAGTGGCCTTTCAGAGCCTTTTTTAAGGGGGAGACTGGTCTTAGACAAATTTTTGTTTATTTCTTCAGTGATCTTGATCAAACTGCGCATGATTATGCAGTTATTTCTGCTGATTTCAAATATTTAATTAGTTATCCTTTAGCTCATCTTGTTCCCGAAATCAGTAAAGTTCACCTCCTCCCCCCTGTTTCAGGCCATTATATAAAAAAGTGTTTAATTAAAAGTGATATTTAAGATATGCCAACATAAACTAATGACTATAGATTGACAGTATGCAGGAGATTATTGTTTTAGGCCTTTCTTGGTTATTTTACAGCAAAATGAACTATTCATTTTCAAAAGGAGTTGAAATTGTGTTATAATTTTGGTGAGTAATTAAATAAAAAGGCTTGTGCTCATAACTCTGCTCTCATATTTGCATTATACACAGATACAGGTTTCCATTGCAAAAATAATTATTGTTGTACCTGCTCTAGCTGCATAGATATTGAGGCTTCGAAATTTAACAGTCGTAAATTTACTTTTTCGAGAAAAATGGGAAAAACTGAAAACGCACAGTTTCTTCAAAAAGCAACAATCGTGGTGTGCATGTTTTGCAATTCTCATAAAGGTGCTCATAAATTGGTAGTAGAGCTTCGGACACAGGTGCTGGCAAATTATAAAGAAGCCTCGAAGTCTGTTCCCCATTTTCTTGCAGCTTCTGCATGTTAACAGCACCAAGAATCTGGACAGTTAGAATGGCATTACAAAAAACTTACCACTCCCTGGTGTATGAAAATATGCAGAGCGATAAAGAAAAATACTTGCAGAAACCAAATATGTCAACTTTAAAAGAATTTTTTTGTCACTTTTTGGTCCTAAAGACCAGTCTGCCCTCTTAAACACTCTTGAAGTAACTGCTACGGCACATTTAATTGTCATAATTTTTGTGTAGTATGAAGGAATTCACTATGCCATCCTTTATCACTCTGGAGAAGCGGGGTACCCGCTATGCACTTGCAAGGAATTTTGTGCAATTTTTTATGCTATGGCTGATGATTAAAAATTATGCCTGAAGCTTTTGTAATGAGTTGGAGCATTGGACGACCCAGTCATTATGCAATTGGCAGTGTGTGATGCCTGGTTGTTCCTTCTCTGTTTTAAAATCTTTTATTACTCGTATTAATAAGCTTTCTTTCTCTATCATCAAGCGTGTCTAAGGCTAGTTTGCAACTGAGTTTCAAGCAGCAGTGTGGCTCTGCGTGTCAGCACAGAATACTGGGCTGGCACACAGGGACCCCAGTTTGAGTCCCATTATGTCGTTGGTGTTATTTAGTTTTTATTTTATTTTGTGTGATAGTGGTTACAGACACCTGCTGTGGCAGACAACTACGATGCATGCGATCGACCCTTGTGAACTCTTAACAGCTTTCACTGTAAAACGCAGCGTTGAATAGCAGGGCACGCAGGTTGCGCTATCAGTGAGGTTGTACTAAGTTCTGGCACCGCTGTGCTTGCATGGTGCTATAATCGGAGTTTTTTTCCGAGTTTGACAGGTCTGGTCTGCTGCTAAAAGGTGCGACTTAAATTGTGGCTGCTTGCAACTGTTTAGCATTGTCAAGCTACGTTTTGACTTTTACTGCATTGTTATTTTGTAATGGCGTGATTAACGTCTTAATCATAAATGGCACTGGCTTTCACTGAAATAAAATGGATAAACTAAAGAAGATTTTTTTTTTTTGAAGGACCAAATGTCGTTGCTCCAAAGTTGGAGGTGGGTTCATTATGAAAGTAAATATGGTATTCACTGCACATTTAATTCTGATAGGCTTTTTAAACTGCTTGTTTTTTTGTATTCTAGAAAGTCATTTTGCAAGTGCATTCATGTGCTGGATTACTTACTCGTACTTAATTTTGTGTGCAACTAACCATGTGTGATATTTTGCTTTGATAGTTACTCGTATTCAAATTTTTTATGATAACTTACTGAAGGCATTTTGAAATATTGAAAACTCAAATCCAGGCATTAGGGTATCAGTCGACCTGGTCGCTCTATTCTTAGCGATTTTAAAACTGAGGTTTTACTATTGTGATGAGACACGTTAATTCACTCTTTCATTTTCACTGCACATTTTATTGAGATATGCTTTTGTAACCCTACTTGTTTTCATGTATCGCAGAAATTAGTTTTGGTAGTGCAATGGCAGTTTGGTGCCCACCAAGCATCTTTGGTTGTGCACTGATGTGTGTTAGTCAGATTCTTAATTTATTGCAATATTGAATTATTTTAACATGCATTTATTGAGCAGTTCTGAGTAGTGAATTGATGATTTGTCACATTGTTATTTATTGCTAAATTATTTTTATGTGTGTTTATTTTGAGTGTTGTGAAGTCATGCCATTCCTTTTTTTCACTCTGGAATGCTTCATGAATTTGTAATTGACACATAAAGCCCAAAAAGGCACTCCGATACATTTTCAACATGGTACATTGAATGGCTGATTTACATGCGCAAAGCTTGTCTAAGTGGCGGATAGTGTTCAGAGTGCCTTGCAAGGGTCTCTTGGTCATACATATTACTGCCGTGACGAGTTCCTTACTTGAAAAAAAAAATTCTTTGTGCATATTTCTGATATTATTTTGATTGTCTATTACTGAAAAAAAAAATGCCATACAAGCCAAACCTTTAAAAATGTTAATAGTGTGTGTGTTATGAAGCTGAGGCTGATTTGTGAATCCTCTTTTTATAAGCTGCCAACAGATGTTCACTGCTTGTTTGAATGGTTTTATACAATTCTCTGTACTGTAGGTTGTAAATGATAATAAATGAGTAATTTTGCAGAGTTTCGTATTCATGTCCATGTACATTACAATTATAGCAGCAGATATTATGCCGCACTGTGCAGACAGTGCAATGGGCCTAATTTGTGGTCTGCATAAAAGGTAGCTACTTACAGGACACATTCAAGACGGCCACTTCGAGGCGACATAAACCGGCGACCAAATCTCAACAGTTGGAAGACATACAAAATGGTCACAAATGGGACACATATAGGACGGACACGTTGAGGCGACAGAAAAGCGGCGGCGAAATCGCGACAGTTGGGAGACATACAGGACGGTCGCAGATGGTACACATAGAGGGCGGACACTTTGACGCGACATTAAAAGCGGCGGCCAAATCGCGACAGTTGGGATACATACAGCTTGCGTCCTAATGTTGCCTCGGGGAACCATACAGTAAACATATAGGATGTTGCCATTTTCATAGACTAACCTGCACAAGCAAAAGCATCCGCGTGAGCGACGCAGTTATACTCGAGCTGGTGCCACGACCCAGAGACACACTGAAATGCCGATGTACATGTAAGTTGTAGCTATGTACAGTGACGTTCCAGGTTTCATTGACTGGTATCGGGCATTGTCCAGAAGAAGTGGTGCTGATCTGTGCGTCACATATGTCGTTGCCTCCTTCGATGCCTTCCCAAGGAAAATAGGCGATGGAAGAATCGCCAGTCAAAAATGCAGCTTTCCAAGATTCATTCTGTCAATTTGCAAAGCAATGGCAGGAAACTGAATTGAGGAGAACCTGCACAAGCAAAAGCATCCGCGTGAGCGACGCAGTCATAGTCGAGCCGGCGCCACGCCCCGGTTTGTTTACACAGAAGGCCAAAACAGATGAGTAAGAAAGGGGAGGAAACCTCTATTCCAGGCAGCCAAAGTAGGCGGTAAAGAGGTGGTGAACCGGTTCACTGGGCCAACGCCTCACCTATTTCTTTCAATGCAAGTGCAAACGCTCACGTCTCCACGGGAGCCTTCAGTCAACCTAAATTCGTGATGTGGTCGTGGTGCGGCGCTATATGAGAGTCGCACTGTTCAGTTCAGTTCGGACGGGCACGTGGATGGACGTGTTTTTCGAAGGCTTTCAATCCACTGCGCAGATAAGTGTTTTTGCATGTTTCGAGCTTGATTTTGAAATGCAGAGAGCAGCAGTATAAACCTTTATAACAGTTATTACATTGTATGGCTTTTTGGGGTGTCGTTCACCAATTATTTAATACTTCGTGTGGGTTTGCTTTCTCCTGCCACCCTGTGGTGAAGATGCACGTACACCAAACACGCACATTTTCGCAATAGAGCTCAGACTTTTTTGCTTAGGGCAGGGTTTGTCGTACGCCGTGTTTTGTAATTATCGAGTGGGACCATTCATAAGGACAATTGGTGTCAAAAAGACTGTGAAATTCTCATTATGCGGGGTTGGTTGTAAAATGAACAATATTGTGGACGAGAATGCAAAGGAGGCTGACCCCAAGTGTAGGCAATGTGAGGTTGTGGCAAAATAGGAAAAATGATGATTGCCTATGTGAACTGCCGATAAGAATCGCCGAGGTGGAGACTCCATTGGTGACTGAGGAAGGAAACACGGGCAAAATAGGAAAAATGATGATTGCCTATGTGAACTGCCGATATGAAT